ACTAGGATGAAAGGGGCAGAAGACAACCCTACCTTAGGATGCCTTAATGGGTAGCAAAACAAAATACCCTCTTTGCGTGCTGAAGTGGGCACTTAGCAATGTAAAATACATGGTTTTTCCTGAATTCTGATCTGTGTTCAGAGGTGGGGTGTAGCACCCCAATGACATGAGTTGCTTGCAATCACTTACTCCCAGTGCTGTAGCTTCTGATCACGCAGTAGATGATTTTGTCTTCCTAAGGTTCCTCTGAGGCAGAAAGACCTTTTCTGCTGTTTCTCCTTTTCTGTGATCTTCCTTGCTAACCATTGTCTTTCTCTGTTTAATCAAATGCCCTGATCACGGTTTCCAGTATCTTTTTGATTGCTGACTTAGATACCTTAACATTTTTTTTCTTTGCATAGAACATCTCCAGTTTCTTCGAAATCTGGAAAAAAGCAGATTTTGTCTGCTCTTTCACACCCTCCACCCCCCCTTACGTATGCAAAAAAATTTTCTTCTGTTCCCCTCCTTTGAGCCATTATGTCAGATTTCCTTCACTCCCTTTCTTATCCCCACACTTACTATTCTCCTGTTGACTTTGTCTCTTTCTTTTTGCATTGAAAGTTTTAGCCTCTTCTAATTTAAAAAGAAAAAAAACCCCAAACCTTCACCACATATATGCAAATAGATGAATTAGCTCCAGTTGCTTCTCCAAATCTTGCCTCATCTCCCTTTCATCTCTTAAGCTCTTTCTGTGTAATGCTCTCTGGTCACTCTCCTCCAGTTCCAGCCTAAATCTGTGTTTTCGGTCTCTCTTTGTCACCTGGCACAGCACAGAAACTGTCAGCCGTGAAGCCTGTGCTCACCTCTTTCCAGGCAGGGCTCAGAACTGATAATTCATCCTCATCATCCTTGTCTGATCAACTCCTTTACTTTGCAAATCTGTAGTTCTTCCTTGTTTTCCCTGGTCTGTACCTCGTTGCTAGATAGCACTGCCTAACACACACTGAAGAGTCACTTCTATGTTGAGAGTTCACCTCTGCTGTGGAGCTGATTCCTCCTGGACAGACTGGACACTTAGCTTGTTTCTGACACCTTACCATGGATCTCCAGCCTTCATTTCAAGTTGAACATGGCTAAAACAATTTCTGTTCCACTAAGCTTTTCCTGCTATCTCTCCTTTTGCTTACTCTACACCATATTTTCACCTTACCTGTCAGGGCTGTGCCTCAGAGCACTGCTCTCCATCCTAGCCTTCTCTCCAGCTTCAGTTCTGGGCATTGTCATCCATTTCCTTGAATTCCCCCCAAAGCTTTGCCCTTGCCTTCATGAGACCGTGGTTCTGCCACGCACCATGGTGGGGAATCAGGACAGGCAAAAAGAGAATTGTTTTCTTGGTATGACTTTCCTGTTGAAAATGATGTGTACAGGTGGGGTAAATCAAATGTGCTTGGTACAATCCTACACAGATGGGATTAAACTAATATGAGATTATTTAAGATCTCCTTGACATTTCCTCCACCTTTTTCTCCTGCCTGGAATTATCTCCAAGGTATTTTGTCTTCTGTGCATAACAATCATCTCTTAGGATCAGACAAGAGTATCCTATATAATTGCTGTTCCTGCAAATTCACAAGTTGACAGCAGCTCATCCATCCAGTCGGTACTGTATGTGATTAGTGGGATTGTGGTAGCCTGTATTTAATGCTATGGACTCTTATTAATTTGTGATAGTTTTGCGTTATATAAAACCAGCTGATCTGTTGAGAAAGGGAGGTGCTAGTGCAACTGACACAAAACTCAGCTCCCAGCTTTAGAATTAGTCTAATAATGTTATGAAGGTCTCGCTTCAAGAGAATTAATTTTATACAAAGCATCTGCCAGAGGTAGCTTCACTGAGTAAAAGCCATTCCCTTGAGCTTTGGTGTGGCTGCTGCTGCAGCTATGTGGAACTATTTATAGATCACTTCAGGTATTCAAAGGGTAAGGATGTTAATTAATCCTTGCAGGTCCTTGTATGGTAGGTATGTTTATAACTCCATCTTGTTAGTGAAGGAGCTGAGCCAGAGAGGTGAGGTGATTTGGCAAAGGCTATTCTGTACTCAATGAGAAACCAAGCTAATATTAGAACTCTAGAACCTTTGGCTTCTAATTAGGGGAAAAAGGTGCCTGTTTGCCATGAAATTCAAATATGTCAGTGCTTGCCCCCACCCCAGACTGGAATGCAAATTAGATATTTAAGAGGAAGGCAATCACACTACAAACTATCGCAGACCATGCCAGCTTAGCAATAGTGGGATGCTTCATTTTCACATCTTCAGTTGAAAAAAAAAATAAAAAATTAATGTTATAAAAACTAAGTCTTACGTTTCAGTCTGTAAGGCTGATCCAAAATGTGTGAATCTGTTTTACAGCTCTCTGTAGACTGTAAGACACTGAAGACTGGGTATTGAGATCATACTTTCCTTTTGAATTTCCTGTAAAACCTAAGATTTTAGCTGTGACATAATGATGATGATAATCTCTGTGCAAGCTTTGCATTGGCATATGGGTTTTAATGGATGACTGATAATTCTTTTATCAACTCATTTGTAATTTACAGTTCACGCATTTCATTGTTGTCGTTGTTTTTGCAATAGCTTCACAGCATTATATAGCAACCAAACGTAAGGGTGACAATCTTTACCATTACTTCTTAAAGCTGCTGTTGAATCCAGTGGGAGATTTTGTCTGAGAAAGAATGGTAGTAAGTCAGGTCATTTAAACAGTCATTTAAAGCATGTAATCCTTTAAAGTTATTTTATTTCTCAAAAGATGTGATTTGCAGTGAAGAGAGAATATTCTGTCCTGAACTAGGTGAATTAAGGAATAATCCAGCTACCCTATGCAGAGGCTGTCATTCAAAGCCAATCATACAGTATTAGGCATTGCTAGTTTACTACAAAATTGGATGAGAACTTAGTCATTTGATGCCTTTTTTTTTTTAAAATGTAGATGTGGAGAGAGTGTGTCATGTTTGTTATTCCAGGCCTTGGCCATTAAAATAATAATTTGGCATTTCAGGTTTGGTTCTTGTAAGTTCTTCTTTGAATTTATTGACTAGAAGACTTGGAAATAACAAGACATATTGGTTAAGTTCTGGGACCCAGGTTTGGGAAAGCTGGATGCCACCAGCTCCTCAGGCTGCCCTGCAACAGAGCTTTGGCCAAGGCACCCCTCACTGGGGCATCTCTGTGCCTTGCTCGATGCAGTGGTCAGGGCTATACTGACCTCTGCTGTCAGTCGCCTTTGTGGACTAGTGAGTAAAGCTGCTGGGTACGGACTACCAACGAGGTGGTATTAAAAATATCTTTGGGGCCCCTAATAACCGGGGTTGTTTTTAATAGCACCTACAAACTGCCTTGACTGACTGAATATGGAAGAAAGTCTCTTTTTCTAATGAACAAACACCAGTTACTACTTATCTATAACTTTCCAAAAGGTTGTAGAGAGGGAATCAGTCTCTGTTCCTTGCAGATCCCAGCGCACTAAAGCTGAGTACAAGCTCAGAGCAATATAGAGCAGTGTAATGATCGCTTAAAAAAATACCCAAAGTCTAGTACAGTTTTATTGGCCCTGAGTTAGGCTTTTCACTGTTAGACTACCTAGTCTTGCTAGTTTCTTTGTTTGTCACTTAAAACTGGTCTTAGTTTTTCCCACTAAAGTATCTCCAAATACTTCATTCAATGGACTTGTACAATAAAGGTTGGCCAAAGGACATGCTGAAAAGCAAACTGACTTAAATTAGTATTTTGGCAAGCCCTCCTCAGGCTGATATCCAGGCTGCCTGCCGTTCTAGCTGTGATCGCGCTTACTGTCCACAGATGTCCTGGAAAGAAGAGAAAGGTAGTCCTTGGGGTGGCTCCGAATCAATAAAAACTGAATTTCTAGACTTCCTTAGAAACATAGGTGAAGAAAACGAGCAGGCTAACCTGTTCAAAAAGTCTCTTTTACCTTTTCACTCCTCCTTCACAAAAAGAATCACCAAAATAGCTTAGAGCATCAGTCCTTAGGTCACTAAATACATATGGGTGTTTTGCAGAGAAGTTTTCAAAGTGGAAATACTATGTGTTAAGTTTATTGTCATTTAACTTCAAAGTAGATATTTGAGTTGATCCACTTTGGGTTGAGTTTTTACTGAAAAATGTATCTGCATTGATTATGTAAAGAAAGCCAGCCCAATAAACAAACCGCCAAACAATCTCCTTTCCTCTAAAACCAGAGAGAAACAGAAATTTTGTAGCTGGACAATAATCTTCTATAAGTATTTTATATTCTGTTCACATTGGTACAGCAGCAGGACACAGCATTATTCCTCAACAACTATCGTGCTGCAAACTGCTCAAGATCTCCCCCACTTCTTGTGGGGTTCCTCACAGAAACTCCTGTGACTCCTCTCTGCAACCAGCGTCACTAACACCAGGAGAATTTTGATGAAAAATTGTGAACTGTGTAGCCCTGCCTTAGTCTTTATACACCAATAAATGAAAAAATGTCATCTCTGTCACTCGTATAACCCTATACAAAGTTATCAGACCAATCCTACTATGTTATTTTTAAGCTGTAACTGTACTTTCAAAAAGATGGTTTTAAATCTATAGACAAGTAGCAGAAGTAATAGTGTATTTCTTAAGAGCACTTGCTTAAAAGGATCTTATTACTAGCCTCCTCTAAGGTGAGAACATTGTTCCTGCAGAACAATGCAGGAAAATCCAGAAATGCAGTGCATCTTCTGACAAACCTAGTGCTTTTCACAGCATCTGTTGCTGAGTTGCAGTTGTATTTTGGAAATGTAGGACATATTTTCTTTTCGGCGGGGAATTTGTTAATAAATTTTGAACTTAAAAAATGAACATAGAACAAAGAAAAGGTAATTATTTTGGCACAGGGGAGGAAACAAAGTGATATAAACTGTGTTTCAGTTCCTTTCACCTTATGATACTCAAATATACTTAGGGTTGGTTTGTTTGTTTGTTTTCCAGAAACTGTCCTATACAAAGGAAGCAATGGGCGGGTGAGTATCTGTGTTTGCCTTGCGTTTTATTCTGCCTGGAGGTAACAGCAGGGCTGAATTGTGACATTTTGTAACCTTTTCTCTCTTTTTCTTGTCAGCTCCTGCACTGATTGGTCATGTGGGTAAGTAATTTTCCCTTTTTAAAGCCTTGTTGTGATCGGTCCTTTCGCCAGTTCTTGCTGCTGCTGGAGCTGATTTGTGCACTGAAGATGAACAAAATTCACCTTTGTGCAAAAGGGCACCTAGAAAAGTGCAGTGGAGAAATCCTGCGGTTCTCACACGTGAACCTCTCGCAGGCTGTCCTAGCATGCTTGACGTGCTCAAAATATCTCAGCCAATCTGGGGCTTGTACTTTTGCTTAAGTATGTCATCACCTTGTTGGCCGTCGGGCACAGATACAGGCTATTTACCTGAAGAGGTTTAGTGGGGAAAATCTATTTTGGGAAAGAGATGTGTCCATAGTTACTTGTGTTAGTGTTCCGGTTATCCTGTGAACGTTTCCCAAAGGCTTTAAGGTAGTCCTGGTCATCATTACAAAAAGCAAAAAAGTGGAATTTTTTTTAAATGCTTTTTAAAAAAAACTTTTGAGAGATGTGCTCTAAAAACAGTTACAAGGGAATTGTCTGTCTGGGCTCCTCACACTTTTAACAAAGCAATAAAAATGAAAACCAGTCTGAATTGTGGCTTCTTTTTACCAAAGCAAACCTGAACTTGACCTGGTATTTGCATGTCTTTTTTGAACTGAAAGGAAAACCAGTTCAAATTATTACTCCATTCCTACTCAAAACTTAATCTAAGCTGTTATTTTTAGAGCAATTCAAACCCAAACAACCTAGTGCTGAACTCATCTGAAAAATTGGCAAGTTCAATTCCCTGCTTTATGGGCCACATAAAGTTATTATAAATATGAGTAATTCATTTACTGCGAAGAGTAATCACTTAACAGACTTTTTAAAAAGCCTCAACTTCCCAAATTAGGTATCCTTATAATGATTTCATAACCACAATATTATATATTAAAATTAATAACATGAGACGATAAGGGCAAAAGTGATTGCTAAGAGACTGGTTTCTCTGTCCTGTTGAGCCAAACACTCCTTTGACATGAGCATTCCCCAAAGCCTCCAGGTCAACTGGGTGGCATACATCTGTTCAGAATTTTCTCTGTTGAGAATGCAACATTGACTAAACTTTTATATGCTTAGTTTAAGTTACTTTTTGAAAAGTAACTAAATTAAAAAAAAAAAAAATCTTGTCCTTGTAAACTTTGCAGGTCTGATTCTTTCTCATTAGCATCAGTCATCCTCTAGACTGGCTCTTTACATGAATGGAACCACATCTTACTTATAAGAAAATGTTAATTCAGAGATACCGTTATCTCAGTCTGAATGTTGAAAACTCTGAAAAAATTAATCTTTCTGAAGAAGTTTGAGTTTGAAAACCTACTGTATCCCTCTGTGTGACCATTCAGGAAATCTCGTAAATGTGGAGATATATGAGAGGAATTAGAGTCAACACTAATTAATCTTGAGTCCCTACGTGCACTGGGCTAAACAACCTAACAATGCAAAAAGCCCAACATTTGATTGAAAGGTGGATCAGAGTGATCAATGTTGTACTCATACAAAAGCCATCTTATCGAGTGCTTTGTGACAGGCATTAAAGGGGCTCCAGTAGACAATTGCCAAGCTTTACCCAGCTCGGTTCACTGTGAGGCTTTATTGCATCTCTCTCAAAAACTCACTGCCTTTATCCCAGTATGTATGACTTCAGATTGTTTGTAGCTTTAGGATGGGATCATCATCAGTTTAAACTTTGGTTCTACTATATCTTTTCCTCTAGAAGTTGTTGTTTGTCTTGTGCTTGGATATGATAGTGTTTTATTGGATAATGAGTGATACAAGACTGAATCAGTGAGACAGAAACAGGTAGATTTGCTCTGGATAACGGAGCATCAGGAAGAAAATACAATTTATTTTGGCAAAATTAGAAAACCCAGAACCCTTATTCTAAGAGCATCCTGGGCATCTCTGCACCACAGGGTTTAAGAAGTGAAATTTGTAAGCCAGGGTCATGTAAAAACATTGGCTGTCATGGGTAGAAGATGTCTCCTCTAACTTCAGACATCCTCTATTAAGAGAAGTGAGTGAGCCATCTCAGTATGGCCAACAGCCAACATTATTATTTCCTGAAAAAATATACTAGACTTCCCAGTACACATCAGAATAAAATGAAGACCTTTTTAAAATGTTCTGTAAGAAATGGGAGTAAGGACCTAAACCAGGATCACCCGCAGTCCTTAAGGCACAGCGTGGGAAATCCAGCATCGAGTCCCTCCTGCACAGAAGGAAATGTGAGTGTGCTTCTGACGGTTCCTGGGCAGTGCTGGTGTCACCTGCTGACCCACGCGTGCAGAGAGGCTGGTCCAGCGCAGGGCAATGCAATGATTCGAGCATGGCCGTATTGCCACCCAGCTGTGCCATCTGTGTCAGAACGGGGAATTCACCTGGCCTTATGTCTCACGGGATGGCAGGACTACCCTAAAGCACCAGCTGTAGGTATCTAGCTGAGACGTTCAGGGGAAGGACAGGCTTCTCAGGAGGATACCTCAGAGCAGGGGTCTAACAGAGGTGCTCTGACTTGTCCTCTGGTGAACTCCAGTTTCTCTGATGACTCTGCAGAAGCAGTCATTTCAGTTTGGCAGCCTAGCACTAGGCATATTTCTCAGTCTGTTTTCCTACTGAGAAGAACGTAGGAATTTTTGCAGTAGATTCGTTTTGTAGAGCGTAACCCAGGCACAAGAAACTAAGAGTGTTTTGTTTTTATGAGCTTTGACCAATCTGTTTTTTCTGTGAAACAGTTGGGGGACATTTCCTTAATTTGAGGCTGATCTGGAACAGAAGACAGGCCCTGGATATCTGTTGGTCATTTTAACTACACTACCTTTCTAGATTAAAGCAAAACCGTACTGAAAGCTATAAGCAGCTGTTAAATTGAAGCTGTGATTTAATACATCTCATAATCCTACCTAGATGTCAATACTGTGTGTCTGTCTAGCTGGAAAAATCTGGTTCCAGCTATTTAAATGCTAGGATAGTTTTAGTGTAGCCTACAGAAAGGTGGCTTGTATTTGTGTAATTTACTTCCCAGAATAACTCACAATCCGGCATTACTGACAATTGCGTAACAGCAGGATGAAAGTTTGTTCCCATAAGGCTCGTGCATGCATTCACGTAGGTTAAACGCTCAGCTAGCCTGGCCTTTTATGGGACGGAGGGATTAAACTAAGTACCACTGAGGAGAAAACCTCAAAGGAAAAGTAATATATACGACATAATGCAGATGTGTATAGAGCGGCCCAGTGGACATGGCGGAGTTTTGCCCCAGTGGGAAGTGTGGGAGCACTACATCAGCTAAAGACTTTTAATAATTGCTTTATTCAGTAGGTTATCAGGACTTTGCATAATGAATTTTGCTCTCTTAATTCTGGAGTATGTCTCGTGACAATAGGACAGTAATTTTGTCTAATTCCTGGGGGAGCTCAAAAGCCAGAACTTGAGAATCAACTGGAGACAAAGGAGTAGCACAAAATTGCTGCAATAGAAAAGTATAGCTTTTATGTCAGAGCCTGGCTTGAATGGTGTATGCACAATAACATACTGAAGAAAAGATAAGGAGTATGGGATAGTTGAAAAGGATTAATATAATGTACTACTTTTTCACTTCTTCAGAAGTGGCTGTTAATGTCAAATGAAATAAATAGAAGCATGTGTCCTTTCTGGGTGGTGCTTGCTGATTCTGGACTCACTGAAATTAGTCACAATAAATCAGGTCTGGACCTCCTTTGTTCTGTCCGTGTTCTCTCCTTTGAAATACACTGGCAAATTTAGGATCCATATTTCATCAGTGGTGGCAGCAGTGGCTGATGGTGTATCAACTCAAATTTTGTACTGTTTTGTACTATTTTATACCATTTGTACCGTTTATCTAAATGTACTTCATGAAAGAAAAAGAGTTTGTCTTCTGTGCTGGGATCGTTTCAACAGTTCAGCAGTTCTGCCTGCAGTGAAGCAGAAACATACCTGAGCTCCTTCGCTGTCTGCATGTGGACTTGGCAACGATATTGCTCATTTCAGAAATTTTTGAGCATCTACACAGCGTTACCCCTCGTGAAGAGTTCCACACTGCTCCTATTCAGTCGTATATTTTCTTTTGTGCTCCCTACTGTCAGGTGGCGAATACGAAAGGTTTGTCCTGCTTTAATTAAAACCAAAAGAGGTCAAAATTCAAGAACTACCTAAATGAAAATTAAGATAAATGCAAGTATAATTTAAAAGGAAAATAATCTGAATAAAAGGCTTAGTCTTGCATTCTGTACTTGGATAAAAATACTTCTGAAATCTCATACTTACTTAGTTCAAGGACACATGATTGAAATGTTTAAAAAGGACAAAATCAGACCATAAAATGATTGTCCCTTTGTGTGCAATATGAACATTGAAATAATAATGTTTAAGAAAAATAAATGCTTGACGCAGCAAATTAAACTTTAGGATGTTCAAATTGATAAACAAACTGATGGATGTTCAGAATGTGTAGTACAAATCTGACGATGTTACCTTCTTCAACCACAGAGCTGAGTTTGTGTTAAACCTTGAGGAGTGATGTAGAGAAAAATGTAACTAATAACTTCATAAAATTTCATGGGGGGGTGAAATGGTATCACCGATGCCCCATTTGACAGGTCCAGAGTGGTATTTCTCCTTAATAACACAGCATGGTTGCACATAAAGAACTTGTTTAGGCTCCTGAGTTGCCTGTGAGTCAATGAGACACTCTGTGCTTTGGTGGACTGGAACCTATTGAGTCTTTTCCTGACATGACTGCTGTCACACAGAAGTACTTACCATGGGGTTTGAAAAAGGGGACTATAGGCTGTATTTGTGAGCTGCGTTTGCTGTATTCATACATATAGGCTTTCTATAAGCACTGTTTGCTTCAGATCGGCTTCTGAGGCCCTTATGGGTCTTGTCTTACACCTGCCTGGATCCAGGTGTCTAACAGAGCTGTGTGATCTGAAACTGGTCATTTCTGCCAAGGAAACACAGCGCAGTGTTGTTTGTTCTGCTGCTTAGACATTTGCTTGTCCGTATTCCTTCCTACCTTTCCATACATATGTGTATGTTTTTATAGTTTGCTTACTGCTCAGCCAGGGTGGTCCAGGGCATCAGTCATGCAGGTAGGACAATAGAAATTACATTTCATATGTATGTGGCTCAAATTCACCATAAGCTCTTGCTGGAATATAGTCCCTCCACCCGGAGTGGCTTTCTTGTGTAGGTATAGTCAAAAATAAAGCTTGGGCCCTGGATTAATCCTGGGGAAAAAAAAAAATCCCCAATATTTTAAACGGTGTGACTGAAGGGGAATTTGAATCTGTGTTTACTTTGAAGAGCAGTGTGTTCAGGCAAATCAGTATATGCGTTGTCACGTGCATTTTGAGTGGCTTCCTTAGATACCTAGTACTATTGCTGCTTTTTTAGGAGATTAATAAAGTGGGCATTTGAAAAATTAAAAGGTTAAGGGGAAGTAGAGGGCAAAAAGAAATGGATACAAAAAGAAAACTAACCTCATCGTTCTGATAAAGCAATGAAAAAACAATGTTGTGCATAAAGTGAGGTAGGTTATAGCACCGTTTCTTAAAACAGTATTTTTATCCTCCTGAGAAAAAGTGATAACTGTTAATTTGACCAAATTCAGTACTTGACTTGTCTTGCTTCATTAAATTGATTAGGGTTTTACTAGGTGTTATTTAAACCATTGGCTTTTAATCTTCAGCCAGCTGTGAGCCAGAATTTTGTCAGAAAATGGGTTAGCTCTTGGGGGCTTGTATTTAAAAGCCCCTCAGTACCAGTAAGAATATATTACCCAGCCTTGGCAAGCCTGTTACTGCTTAAGGTGATGGTTTTGCTACACTCTAAATGACAGCGGCTTTATTCTCCCCTTGCTTTTCAGCACTCTCACGGTTGCCCCGTGGCCCGGTTTGGTCTGTGGTTGCCACCGCGTGGCTAACCCGCTGCCTAAGTTGATGTTACTAACCAAAGCGCCCTGTCGCATGGAGAGCTGCCGCTGTCAGCGACAGTGAAAGTGCTCTGGGACTTTTGAAAAATTGAATGCTGCTCCTCTTTTGAAAGTGTGATTTATACCATAGCTTAGCATTCTCCTTGTTTTTTCTTGCCTACTTTGAGGATTTTTCCTTTAAAAACTCAAGCAACGTAGTTAAAATTGATCTTGCAGTACTGGACGCGGGTGCCCGGGCGCTGGCAGCGTGGGGGCTGCACGGTGGCCTCTGTGAGGAGAGGCCGGGACTGCCCCGAGCCGGGCACAGCCGGTTCCTGACGGCTCCGACTGACCTGCCTCATCACATCCGAGCCCCGCAGCCGAGCTGGTGGCACCTCAGGGAAAACATATTTAAGAAAGGTTGAAAACACTGCACAGGGAGACGAGAAGGGAATAAAAAGAATGAGAAATGGCAGCACAGGGAACACCAAGGTCGAAGGTGGAGGAGGCGCTCCGCGGTGGAGCAGGTATTCCCTGCAGGCTGTGGAGGACTCGTGCTGGAGCAGGTAGACGTTTCCTGAAGGAATTGCTGGCCCCACAGAGCCCACACCGGGTAGAGGAGTCGGGAGTGAAGTTGAGCCTGGGAAAGGTGGTGTTTTAATGTTTGTTTCTCACTACCCAAATCTATTTATATGCAATAAATTAATTTAATTTTCCCCAAGGTGAGTCTGTTTTGCCCATGGAGATAATTGGTAAGCAGTCTTCCTGTCTTTATCTCAGCCCATGAACTTTTTCATCTCATTTTCTCCTCTGTCTCACTGAGGAGGAGGAGTGAGAGCGCGGCTGGGTGGGCATTTGGCCCTTCGCCAAGGCTAACCCACCACAAAACTGGGTCCACATTTCAGTTGGTCAGATAGCCTTTTAGGGCCTTTTGAGATGCCCTAAGTTACGGTCCACATCTGCAGAAGGCTGGCAGGTATGATGTGGGATCTGCGGGCGACCAGTGCCTTCTGCCGCAGCAGCTGGAGGTCAGGAGCGCCTGGAGGCCCTCAGAGTACACTGGGCACCGACCCACGGGCAGCTGGATCAAATCCTGCGAGTCTCAGGTTGAGCTCAGAGCCTGAATCATTCTACCAAAGCAAATCACGTTTCTTGCTGTCCCCTTCTCAAGAAAGGAGGGTTGATACGAGGCTTAGCTAATGTTTATGTATGCGTTTGAGTACTTCAGCTGAACAGAAGGTTACAAATCCTGTAGCAAGAGTTGTTTCACTGCACATCACTTTGTTTTCGTTGAGTTTTTATTCTGACCTTAGTTACACTAAACAGTTTGTAATAAGTAAAATCCCAGATTGTTTCACCTCTCCTGAAAGTAGAATCATAGTTGCTTCTGAACATACCATCATTAAATATGATGCACTAAAATGCTTTGTTTACTGATGCTGTAATTTGGTGAGACTCTGGTACAGATGTAATCTAATGCCTATTGAAACTGCTAAGAGTAATGCATCCTTGGAATTAGGTGACTTTAATTGGAAAATATTTCATCTGACCCATTAATAATTAAACAGTAGGTTTTATTTCAGTTCTAAGATGATAAACAAGTAAGGAAACTAAATCCCTGTAAAATGTAACCAGCATTCTTAAGAAAATCTAAATGCTTTTAATGTGGGGTTTTGTTTTGGTTTTAGCAGTTTTAAAGTTGATGTTTTTTGAATGATTTATTTGTGACTCTTCATGCATGTGATGGCAATGGCAGAGAGGATATCTTGTCTAAATTATACTTGCTAGTAAAATTTGGCTTTCCAGTCTTGGAAATCATTCTAAGATTTATTGAGGTTGTCAAAGAATCGGTAGAGAGTTATCTTGCGCTGTGCTGGCTGAAAACAGGTAGCAGTGTCCACGAGATGGAAGCAGACACAAATAACTATATTTCAAAGCTTGCATATAGCTCATCGGCTTTAGTTGTTCAGAAAAATACATGAAGGTTCTGTTTAAACTCTCGAATAAGTATTTTCTGCTTTGTTCATCTGGAGATTATGTTGTTTTCTGTTAATATTTTATAATTGTTATGTAGATCTCACCCTGTCAGTTTAACATTCCCTGAACTTAGGATATTTTAATGATTATGCACAGGACTAGCCTGTGCCTCCTGAGAAAGGGTGGGTGAAAAGACTCTTGGCTTAAATAGAAAATTCATCAGATTTGTCTTCAGGTCTCTTTATTGGCAAGTGCTTTGTGTCTGTGAGAGGCAGGGGGAGAAACAGAGTTTGAGCCATTAACTCAGTGAAACTATCATATGTTTGATCGTATGCTTGCGCCCCGGTATCTTTAGTATGTAACTTTGGATCCGGTTGTCTGGCTGGTGCTGGAAGCCTTTGATTTTTGGAGTGATACAGAGACTGATTATGCATCCTGAAGGAGGCAAAATATCCATCAACTTTGACTGGAGTTTTGATTGAGGACAGACTGCAAGACCAGTAATCTAGTATGTGAATCAAAAATCAGACCTGGCAAGGCTAGGAAGCATGGCTGACATAGTATCAGCACTTGCATATATTACAGGGAAGACTCCTTGCTGCAATGCTTATTTTATGGCACAAGTATGACCACGAATAAAAAAGGAGTTCCTTTAGAAGTGAGAAAAATATCTCAATGCAATGAACTTCAATGATTTTCTGAAGTTCAGTTTCTCTCCAGATTGGGCTGTATATATTAAAAATACGACAAACCTGAAAAATAACTTTTTCTTCATTCAGGAAAGGCTTTTTTCTGTCAGAGCGTGTCTCCCACTCTTGGTAACTTGACAGTTGCTCAGGGCTTACAGAAATGGCCCCAAGGAGCTTGGGTTTACTCTAAGAGCCATGTCAAAGCTGTTAGTTTTTCTTCAGGCTGACAGTCTTCATCTGATTTTTATCTGAAATGTTTTTCTTTTCCACATTCGGCCTAGAGTTGTTTTGTGTGTGTGTGTGAATGCAATAATTGGATTTGGAAACATGCCTTTTGAAGATTTCCAAATGAGCAGGGTAAAAGTCATGATGAGAAGAGCCTATCATCTTGTAGTGATTTCAGTACAGTTATGATGTTTTAGTGCACTGGTGAGTATTTTAAAAACTGAGCGTTTTATAGAATATTACAGGTTATCTTTGTGTTTTATCTCTGGTCTTTGTATTTGTTTCCTTTACAGAACTGCTAGAAGGCAAAATGTATTTTGGGGGGGGCTCCAAGTCAGTTGGAATATAAGGAGGTTAGCGGCCCGGGGAGGCACATGATGTGTTGTGTGATGCAAGCGAACCAATATCTAGGTTGCAAAAGATAACTGAAATATTGCAAAGCCTAGTTTTTACAATGTTATCAGCAAAGTAGTACCACGACAAATTTCTTCTGCAAACATGTTTTTTGGTGTGGCAGCAGAATCACAGATAAATCAAAAACTAATAAATCTATCTCACCATGTCTAACTTCAATTTCTGATTTTATTTTTATTTAGCAGCAGTGGGACTCCACCTCCAGCTTCGGATGCTGATATTACCACATTGAGAGGTCAGTTTTCATCTGACTCATGTCAAGGCTGATTCTGAATTACTAGAAAATTGAGAAATTTGATGGTATTTGGATTTCAGAAAGAGCTGTGTATTTTTCCATCTCCAAATAATGCTCTTTGTGATCTGGAGATCGTGTTATATGCTGACATTATTTTGTTATATAAATAATGAAAATCCTACTTGAGAAATTAGTTCTGTGCACTTTTTACTGCACTTAACTAAATGTTTCCAAAATTACATCTGCTTAGATAGAACATTAGCATTTTGTTCTGATTAGTGCATTTGATACTTTTCCTGAGGCTCTTCAGGTGTTTCCTGTGTTGTTTCTGTCACGATGATGGGAATAGGAATCAAATTTTATTGTTGGTTTATGCTTGCTGAACCACTTCTGTGTGTATCTACATGTACATGGGTATAAAAAAAAAAAAAAAAAACCCAAACAAAATAATACTGCTCTCTCTCAAACTCAGATGCAGCTGCCAATGTTCCTCCCCCTCATGAGATCTCTGTTGAGAGTCCTGCGGGCGGTACCGTCAATGAGATCAAAGATGCAGACACTACTGTGAGTGGTTTTTTTCATTTGGTTCAGCACTCTGTTGCCTTTCCTAAATAATATTGTTTGTGGTCATTTGCATTTCCTAGTACTTAAAGGTGTTGTTAGCCTAGTGTGTTAACACGAATTAAGATTTCGTAAAAACAGGGCATGACTTTTAGAAAGTTTAAAAATAATTTCCTGGGCAGGTTTTTCATTTGCAGAGACTTTGCAATGCCACTTCCCTCACAGTGAGAGAAAATGGATCAGTTGAGCTATCAGGTGAGTATTTTGCTAGTGACATAGGACTAGACAGGGAATGCCTAGGGCTTTTGAAAGCTCCAAGAAGAACTTGGAACGTTATTATTCCTATGGAAATACAATACACCCTTAATTGCTGTAGTAGTGTTTCAAGGGTCCGTGTGGTACAATTGCGTAGGGCAGCAGAGAGGTGGCCTGGATAGCCTTGAAGATTCCTTCTGATTCTCTGCTCCTTTTCCTCTGCTGACATAGGTGAACTTTTTATATATCATCTCACAGTCAACCTTACCTCAATATCAAAACAAAACTTCCAACATAGGGAAGCCTACATCAAGTACTTAAAATGTCTCTGTAAAAGTGGGCTGGCTTTAAGAAGTGCTGACCACCACATAGGTCCCAGGGAGGCATTTGCTTCCAGTAAACAGCTCCTCTGGATTAAAATTTAAGCTCAAACCTTAGATTCCAACTGCGGTATTCGTGGGCCTAGATGACTGAAGAAAATTTTGCAAACCAGTAGTATGAATCAGCTGGCTGTTGTTTTCTTATAAATGTGAAACTTTCACTGGATTTACTGAGAAGCTTATGAAGTTGCACATGCTGCATAGAAGTAGAAGCTGATTTATGGTACTGGGTTTAACTCTGCACTGGTCTGTAACCTAGTATGGCCATGAAACAAGGCTGGGCCAAACTGTACTTTCTTCTAGAGCTTTCAGGGCTGACTGTGGAGCTCCGATATTGAGCTTCCAAGAATAAATACTGAATATGAAACAGACAGACAGCTTCTGACTCAAGTCCAGGGTCTGACTTTATATTATGTACCAAGAACACTTGCGGTTTGGTCCCATGTACACCGTTATTCTTTTTTGAAACAGAACTGCCTGAAGTATTTCTGCCTGAGCAGAGAACAGGACCACTCAGTAAATGAGAAAGAAACCAGAATTAGCTTGCTGCTGCTACAGTGTTTTCACTCTGTACAGTTACATCACACCTCATCGTTGCTCTGTGCAGCCAAAATCCTTTGCAGATTGAGAATGGATTTATTTATTTATTTATTTATGGACTCTCAGACCAAGAGTGAGCAAAGCTCACCTTCTGCACTCATGTTGACTGTACTTTTGGTTTTGGGGGACTGATAAATGGTTGAAACTACATGGAGTTGCAAACAGCCATACAGTAGCAGCACATATATGCCTCCTAAGTATGTATCTCTCAAATGCTAACTGGCTTTATGTAGCGTACCAGTCATTCTGGTCCTTAACAAAGTTATCTAGTCAAAAAGGGACGGGGAGAGACAGAGAATTTAACTAAAAATTTTTAGAGGGTCCCTAAACAATGTATAAGTTGCTCACTGGTGGCAGCTAAGCTTTCTGGGGAAAAGTTTTTCCATTTCCTGCACCATACATAACACAGGCTGCAGTTTTGCCGAAAAGGTCAGGTTTGTTGGCTTTCTTTTTTCCTTTTTAATGTGGGGAAAAAACAATTGCATGTAAATAGCCAAAGACATTTGGCTGTTTGGTTAAAGCCAGCCTTCCCTCCTCTCCCCCACAAATCCCGATTTTTTTGTTTGAGAACAAAACCGTGAAACAAGATCTGGTTTTTCTCATGTTTTTCAGTATACCACAAGGAACAGTATACTGGTTGTAAAATACTAAGGAACTAAGCAGAAAATGTTCTTCCTGTGTTGCTCAGTCCTTCAAGTTAGATTAAAATTTGGAATTCACTGTTGCCTGTTGGCAGCCATGATAGCTACACGCTTCCCTGCTGCATTGCACAGCCACTGCTGCAGGGCTCCTTGGGCAACTGCAAACCGATCAGTTGAAGCCCACCAGTTTAGCTTGGCAGAGATCCCCACAGATCTCCCAATGCCCATTGTGTATCTGGGGGGATCCTTAACCTACTGAGGCTGAACAACAGAGTGTTGTTCTGAATTTGGAACTTGGCAGAGGTAACTTGTCTTCCTGGTAGAATAGTAAGTGGGAGCCTTGTGGTCCCACACAACTAGGTTTCTGCTTGTAGCTGAGGTCAACTAGAAGGAGTTGCACTAAAGATGTGCAAATGGAAAACAGAATTACCTGCAATGCAGGAATTCTCAAAAAAAAATCTTGCTTAGTAGACTGCCTCATTAGTTGCCGCCTCTGTCCCTGAGGCTCCATGAGCACCCCGTTATAGTGCAAGGCAAACAGGTATGCTGATGGCTCAAGTGAGCATGCTGTGCTTTGGACTGCAGTTTTCACATGTCATTAAGTATGTCTGTGACCATCAGTGTGGCCCATCAGTGGTGCCCTGAAGGTGTTCCTGTCCATACAGCATTTATGGAGAGGGCTTAGGTTTTCTGCCCCATCACGAGCCAGAGAAACCTTCAGGTTTGCAGCAGCTGGAGAAGTTTCTGGCCCACATAAGAAAGATGTTTGGACCTAAGCTTAGGAATGTAGTGTGCTGTTGACAGATGGCAGACCATATGTACATATACATATCTGGGGATGATTTTTACATGGAGTAAATCCAGGATAGGTAGGAATCTGTCTGTGGTGAGTAACGAGGATTTATTTCTTGGAAAAAAAACCAAAAGGCAAAACAAACAAAAAAAAGGCATTAAACCACCTCTTCTTTTCTCCCTTCTTCCTTCTCTTCCAGATCAATAATGAGATAAAGAAGCAGGATGAGAAGCTAGTGAAACCTGTAACTGAGCAGATGATCGAGTTCAGTGTTTTGATTGTTGGCGAAAAGTACAGTGAGGAGCTGAGTGACCCAGCCTCAGTGAAGCGTCAACTGCTCTCTGAACAATTCGTTTCTCAGGTGATCACCTTCCCTGACTTCCTTTTTCTTTTTGGTGGCTCTGCAAAGCAATAGTAGCATGTAGCAACTGCCTTTTTCTCATGGGCTCTGCACAACCAGCTTAGGGCTTTTGTTGCCTGGGGCAGCCTGGAAAATATTCACCCACTGTGAGAATACTCTGTTTTGTCTGACTTTTTGAAGTAACAGAGTGCCATACATTGTGCGTAGCATACCAGTTGCCAAAGACCGATTACTCTAGTTTTCTTCTTGTGTTTCTCATGAAATAGCCTGCTATCGATTTTGCAGGCCAAAGAGGTAGAGGTATGCTTTTGGGAGGATCAGAAAATTATGCTGAACCCCTGAATGGGAACATACTGTAAACGGGACCTTTCTGAGGGACTGCTTTCTCTCTCTCCCCCGTTTTCTGGTTTCATTAATTTACTTTGCCTCATGTTAGCAAAAGAAACTAAGCCAGATGTTATTAATAAATGAAAAGCATTTCCACTTACTTTAGTCCTTTTAATGACCTGTTTCTACCAGGGCTACCTTTGGCCTTACCATCCTTTCAGAATTTTTCAGTACTTCTCCCTGTCAGCGTTACTGCAGCAGAGCTTTTAAGCTCACAGAGAAGTGACAAGATTCTTGTTTGCCTCTTGATGCAACTTCATTTGTTATTAAAGTTTTAGGACTTGAAAATCTTAAAGATACATTTAACATCTCTCTAGTAACCAGTCTGCCTAGAGTTTATTTCAGCGCTTTCTAATCTCATTGTCCAGTCTGAATTCTTCCGTAATGTAGTTGGTTTGAAACTGGGGAGAGAAAAAGATAATGTGAAGGTCCTAGCAAACCAGCCTGCCTGCACTCTCAAATGGCAGGACATGAATCAGTTCATGAGCCGTCAGCCTGTGCTGAGGCAGTGCTGGAAGGCAGCTCGAGGAATTCCGGTATAGCACAGCATTAACGTGGAGTGCCGGCAGAAGGTGAACAAGTCCATCGGCACCTGCCTATGTGGACATGCTCTGGGTCTCCTACAGAAGCTGAGCACTGAAATGGGATTTCCGTTATCTTAACGGTTACACGGTGTCCAGATTTTGGACTGTAGAAGTAACTCTGGCATCAGTCTAGAGAATCTGTCTATACAGAGTAGCTGATAGGTGGGGAAATGGGAAGAAGTCACCAAGAGCAGAACTCGTTCATCATTTCTGCTCAGGAGCGACATTTCGAATGAATCGTTGTGCACTGCAGAGAGATACTCTCTGAAATCTAGGCTGCCCAAGACTACTCTTGCTCCTCATTTATGCCCAGGATCGGCAGTGCATGTGAGCACATTTTAAAACTCTCCAGCCTCAGAAGAGTTCTTAAACACAGGCTTAAATCCCACTCGAGTCAGTGGGAATGAACCATGGTTTAGACTGTAGGCACCTAATTAAAAGAAAAAATACATATGTGCATATACATATAAATATGTGTATATACACATATATGCATGATTTATTAAAACTTTATTTCAAGTTAATTTAATTTTAATTAAAATTTAATGTCTTAATTTGTATGCTACAAAGTTACTGGCCTATCAATACACAAGTGCATATTTAAAATGCGATCATACTGCTGTCTCCTAACTTTCCTCTCGCTATTGTTTCCATTACTTTTTAAATTTTGTTTATAATGACGGTAATTTTATTACCATCATTTTCTTGGGGCAGAGAGTTTGTCTTTCCTTTCTTTTGGGAGAGGCATCTAGGATGCCATAGAGCAGCACATCATGCGGCTTATCTTTTCTCTAGCTTTGCTTCCTTCTTGGTCACATTTAGTTGGGGTTCTCTGTTGAATCCCTTTTACTGGGGCTAACGCTGTGCCAGATCCTGGGCCAGATGGGAAAGAGATGTACTGTTCACTGCAGCCAAAAAGCATCACCACAACTGTCACAAGTTGCTAGCATAGGCTAGACATCTTAATTTTCCTAGTTGTGTGGCCAAGTAGCAATGCCATAGTGTGTGTGTGTGTGGAAGAAATGTCAGATGGGACAGAGTCCACCTGGCACGTGGATGTTCCACTCCTTTGATCCCTCGCCTGGTTTTCTCTGTGCTTGGATAAAGAAGCTCTTGCAAAAAAGAAAGTCGGCAGCACTTCGATTGTTTAAGTCTCACCAGAGACAGTTTAAAAATAGGGAGTTTGGGGAGGGGAAGAAGAATTTGAGGAGTAAAAAATAATTCTCAACTGGCAAGGATCTTTTGGGAGGAAAAAAACCAACCCCAAACCGGCACGAAGCTGCAATATCCTATCTCTTGTTTTTGTCTTGTGTAATACAGTTGACTATTGAATTAGGGCTGGATGTGCTACCATTTTGCTGCCCCCAGTCATCTTTTTTGAGTACCACTGCTGGTCACTCCTGAGCCCTTTGTATGTTTAGGGCAGCAGAGATGAGCCATGTTTTGCACCGCGTAATGCATTAGTGCCTCTTTGAGGTCCCTGTTCCTATGGCAGCCATTGCTCCTCTTGTTTAAGTTGCTACGGTCCAAAGCATTTTCCTGAATTCTTTTTAGTCCAGGGAGGTTTGGGAGGTAATGGAAATCTTTTGGGCAGAGAAGGGTTTGTGCTGCATTAATAAGAGAGAGTGTAGTCTGCTATGGGCAGTGCAGATCTCTTCAGAGTCTGTTTGAATTTCCCCCCCTTTGAATGTTTCTATACATTTCTTGGGGAACGCTGGTTGTTGTTCTTCATACTTTTTATTTTCCTTTCTAGTAATGAAACAATGTCACCAAAACTATTCTTCCATAAAGAGGGAGAATATTCAACCGTTTTTCTCCTATGAGAGATAACAGCTTAGATACATTTTTAGAAAATGTTGAAAATGCTTCCTGTTTTTTCACTAAATGAGTAGGGTGGAGGAAATCTGTGTTAATTTTTTGTTTTCTCCTCAAAATAGATCGAAACTGTATTTGAAGGACTACCTGGATACAAAAACATCCGTGTCCTGGGTTACAGGTAAAAAGATACTGATACATACGTGGTGATTGAAACCCATCATGTACGATGGTGTCACGTGCTAGCACCGCACCTGGGAGGATGTTGGGCATGTGCGTGGGAGTTCCTAGGATGTGTTAACCAAAGGACAAGTGCTTTCATATTGGTACCTCTAATACAGAGGTTGAAATAGAAATACAAAACTGTATGTAAATGTAATAATCTCTTTTTTGTGCCTGGCATCCACCAGAGAATCTCATATGATATGCTTGCCTAGATTTTAAGATAAGGCATTCTTGTTCAAGATTCCATCCTAAAATTAAAAGAGATCTTTTCTAATTTAAAATTAGTATCTGATACCTCTTCAATACCATTGACATGTCCTAGTATTAAACAAGGAAGAAAACAGAAACCTTTTCGAAAAAATGTGGCGTATTTAAATTTTTTTTCAACTTCTTAATGTTAATTTGGGATGACTCTAAAAGTTGGAGTTTGAGATACATAGAGGTCTTTCTCCCTTTGATCAAAGCAAAGGTGGGTGAATAGTTTGATAAATTATATGCAATGTTTTAACTCTATTTATTCGTATAAATATTTTTGTTAAAGACTAGTTTCCTCAAATCAATTTGTGCTTCGGGATGACAAGTTAATTTGGGAAAAAAGGGGATACTGTGTATTATGCATCAAACATCTGATGTCTGGGGTTTGGGGTACATGGATCACAAATTATGATTTTTCTTGAATGTACTGGATATAACTTTCAGAATCTAGTGAGACTGTTCATGAGTTAATCTAAATTGTGTTTTCTTTGAGACTTTGTAAGCTGTGTTTCTTAGAATTTATTGGCTGGAATATTGTAGCTAGAAAGCACACAGGTAAGAAAGCAGCTATCATGAGAAAGCTTTTATGGTTGGAACCCTAGACTACGTTCAGTTTCCAGCCTGGGAGGCAGCAAAACCTTCCATCTTGGTATCTGCAGTCTAATACATTTGCAAGCTCTTGATTCATTTGGGAAGACAAATAAAAAGTTGATATTTCTAGCAAAGTACCAGAGCTCTGTGCTCTGCTGTGCATGGCAAAAAAAGTGTTTGTAAACTAACCCTCTAGGTAGAATTAGCGAGCCTTGATTTTCTTGGTACTGAGAGCAATTTAACTGATTCCTTGTGATCAATAGGAAGTACCTCAGTTCAGTAAAAGCAGAACAGTTTGTTATGTAGCAGAATAATTATGCAACTTGTAACCATTTTGCCATATGCTTTTCCAAATTTATGTGCCTTGTAGAATACCAAAGCAAATTTGCTAAAGATAGAAGACTTAAAGGAAATAATAACATTGATTTAACAGGTTTTGCCATTGTGTTTTGTTTTTGTTTCTATATTCAGCTCTCCTGAGGAGGACAGGTAAAGACAACTTTTTTGTATATATTGTTGTAGTAACAGATGGAAAAACACGTTTAGCTGGAGGACTCTGTTTTGGGGATTTGTAGTTTTGGCTCCAGAGAGAGATAGTTATCCAGCATAAATATTATGTGAGGAGGTTCTACCAGAACCTGCGAGTAACTGCTCTGTTTTGATTACAGATAAACCTAATGTGCTTATTTAAGTCCTAATCATAAAAAACTACCTGGGGAAAAACTTCCTAAACACAAGTCAGCTACTGGGCTAACTTGCGTATAGGAGTCTCTTTTGAGAAGAAAACAAAATTCCTTAACGATGACTCAAGGTCTTCATACTTTGCAGCAAAGTCTTGAATAGATACGGGATGATTATTATTATAGAAATTAAAGTAGGTAAGAAAACCATAGTTCCCCAGCAAAGGCAGTTGGCTTAGCTACTTCAAGGCCAGAGGTGCTGCACATCTTGGCAGTAATTTTACAAACATCTCTTAGCAGAAGATGGGATCGCTCTGGACTTGTTTTTTGTTAGACATATGCAGGTTAAGCATCCAAGATTTTCCTCCTTTGGTATTTTAAGAACTTCACAAGACAGAAAATGAACTGCAGCCTTTAACTTCATAGACGTCTTATTTTCTTTTGTGTATTTCTCAGCAAAGGCGTAACCAGCTTCCACAAACAGTTTTACAGAGGATGAGCATTTTAATTTTAGAAGGTTAGAAAACACAAATCTCTTCACAAACAGTAGTGACTTAAAGCCATCCTCTACTACTCTGCACTTCGGCAGGCTAAGATGCATGCAACTATTCACAAAGGTTATGTTCCAAGCACCAGATGTGCTAGCCCTTTCCAGACAGATGATGGTGTCATAGTTATTAGTTAGGAATTATTAACTGCAACTGACAGCACAGTTGTATTAAATCTAAGTGTTACTTTTGAAGAGCATGCTGTATTCCATCTTTGCTGTGCCTTTTCACTACTGCTGTCCTTTTTTATTTCCTCTGCTGACAGTCAGTGCCCATGGTGAGCCTGTGGTGGGCTCATTTCAATGACAGGGCCAGCAGCAAAACTCCGGCAGGCTCCTGGTTTTAGTCAGTGTGTTTGCTGATTATGTCTCTGTTGTATCTGGTGCTGGGGCTTTAGGGACTGCTCTGAACAGAGCCATTACTTTAGCAATCCAGTCCAGCTCTGTGGAATAACGGATAACTTGTCTTTGGAGCGCATTTTTCTAACACTTCACAGATTACTTAATTTTCTTGCTGTGCCCTGTGTACAGCCATATGTTATATTATGTATTTTCTAAAGCTCCCTTGTGCTTATGCCCAGTGTATGGTAAATCTGATCACTACCTATCCTGTCATGTGGGAAAGGACATCCAGACGTATTCAGGAAAAGAAAATTAAGAAAATGGAGGAGAGTTAATATGAAAAAAGCTAAGCTGTACACAGATACAAAGCTTCTTTAAAGAATAAATTATCAAATAATTCTAGAAAAATGTTCCCAGTTATAAGCTGTATTAAATATCATTTCATTGCTATTAAAGACATTATTTCAAGCAGATTGACACTGCACAGTGACAGTGTTCAGGACTATGGTATATTGCTACTATATACAGCCTGTTTTTTCCAGGCTGTTTTTGTACTCAGAGCCATTCCCACCATTGGCATGATCTTAAAATCATCGCTCACACTACTGCAGGCTGGTGGGCCCACTAATAATTCTGGCAGAAAGCCAATGTTTTGGTCTGCTTGTGGTCTATCTGCCATTCACAAGTAGAAATACAGGGCTGGGACCTGACCAGATGTCAGGTTCTGGTAGCCTTTTCCTTGAGAACTTTGCAGTGGTGGAAAGCACAGGCAGGCAGACACAAGTGTGAAAAGAATTAAATTGTTTTTATGTAGAATCCTTTAAAGCAATATGTTTTTAAATTAAAAAAGGTATTGACACATGTTCTTGGGGAAAAAACGTATCATATGTTTGCTGTACGTTGGAAAACCTTGCATCTCTCATCTGTGTTCTCTTTCTCTTTGTACAACCGAAGTGGGGTGAAAGTTCACTCTGCTGTTACATTTGATGGAAAAGCCATCAGCAATGCCACCTGGAACCTGATTAACCTTCATTCCAACAAGGTGGAGGACAACTCCTTTATGGGCATGGAGGATAATCCGACAGTTGTGTACACCATCAGCGATTTCCGAGATTATATTGCTGAAATCCTCCAGAAAAATGCCTTGCTTGAAAACACTTCCTTGTCTTTAGACCCTAACTCTCTCCAGTTTACTAATGGTGGGTATTAATTCTTATGCGTCAGCATGCCACACATCTGAAATTTTATAAACTAAATCTCAGAGATGAGTGAATTACTCAGCTGCCCTCTGAATAAGTAAAAAGAATCAACAAAAGCAACTGTGTTGTAGCTTGTTTTGCTCTGATCGTAACCAGGTCAAGTCATGAGCAGTAGTATCCCAGTCTTTATCCGTTAGATTAGCCTCTTTTTTGTCTTTGACACCGAGGTTTGTGGTATGCAGTTTCAGTAATACATCCAACAGTTAACAGGAATAGAAGGGGAAATGTGGTTCACATGATGTGTGTTGCACCAAGATGACCTTCAGCTTTGTAGCTCAGAGTTGGCCTTGAGCAGCACAAAGGAAATACCTGGTTTATTGTTGAATATTCAGCAGTCCTGCTGGAGGTGGCGGAGGAGTGCTGTCCACCCCTCTGTGCTCATCTTCCCTCTGTACTTCCTGTCAGTGATCTGGGGGCAGTTCCAGAAACACAAGCTCTCTGGCACGCTTTTTGAAAACATTTTACTCACAAGTTTGAGATGAAGGAGGGTTTTTCAGTCAGTCTTCCAAAACAACTTCCTCATGCTGCTACTGCAGCTTTAGATCCCACGTATTTATATTTCCACAGTGAAAGAAATACTACACCCTACACCAGAAGACCCATCCTGGATTACTGAGCACCCGGTTGTGCTGGAGCGCCCAGAGTTTGAGGTGAGTATGGTTCCATGCGGTGGCCTTCGGACACATTTGAACAACTTAACTCAGTAAGGCGGAATTACAGCCAACACCCAGAGCTTCTCTATCCTGTTGTTCACGCAGAATAAGTAGTAATGAAGGCACAACATATACTGGAGTAAAACCTCTGGTGAAATCTCTCACCTGATAAATTTGTATCTGCTGCACAACAGTTTTCTGTGATCATCTTATGTTACATGGCAGTACTGTGTTCCTGGCTGTCCAGCCAGGTCTTGCTTCTTAGGCTTCCTTTGTCTGTTTTTTTCATAATGTTTAGATGGTAAATTGCTCTAAAGACATGATTCTTCCCACAATACTACCTTTCTTTGGAAAGAGAGAAACACATATAAGCACTAAAGCTGGCTGCTAGAAGAGATAAAATGGTAAATTTCATGTGCTCCTTTATTGCTTTCACTGAAAGTTCTCAGTTCAGTTTTAAAATGATGTCCATCCCCTTAATGCCAGCAAAAGAAACATAGAAAACTAATAAGCAGCTTCTTTTTTTTCCTCTTGAAATTGTAATTATCTCCTCTGATTACCTCTGGAACAACCCAGGGCATAGACTGCAGTTCCCCATTGGACAGGAGACCTAGCATCACTGACCACGTCTGTGCAATGCAATGGGGCTTTAAGCAGAGATACCAAGTTAGGTGCCAGCGACGCTGAGATGGAGTTAATTAGCTCTGCCGACAGCTAGAATTTCGGAATGGTGGAGCACTGTCTGGGCTTAAGGATTTATCCAGTAGGTTTCTGCTCTGCACTCTGTTGTATAGCACACATGTGCCTTCCAAAAAGCAATAAGCTCAGTTCATACCACAAAATCCAGATCCGCCTATGTTTGATGGTAGGTTTTCACTAAATCCGTTTTGAGATAACGTCGAGAACGCAGACACATTTAATTTCAGGCCAGCTTCTAAAATCTTATGGAAGCAAAATTCGCAGTCACTTCACAGAACCCAAATATTCTTGTTATAATGGTGACAGGTATAATATCCTTAATTTCGTGCTAGTTTTCCCTGAGTTTTAAAAACTAATCACTGATGTCTAAAATGCAAATTCATATGGATTTGAAATAAATGGCTTAAACATGGTGTGAATAAACATGAATTTAAATTAACTTTCAAGAAAGGCCTTTCTCTTTACTAGAGCTATCTAACTAGATCAAAATGTTACAGATGTTTATTTTAGTATGACAAATAATTCTGCCATCTTTACATTCTATCCGTGGATGCTCTGACAGATATGAGAGCAAGAAGATTTAAGAGTAGAGGTAGCTTTGCAATAATAAATTTTAAACCAGTTTTAGGGAATAGTGTGTACAAGAAAAATTTCTGGAAGTTACGTTTTTCTAATCATGGACTATTATCTATGTCTTCAGTTAAAACCTCTGATTTTACAAAACATATTTGAGTATATCCAGAAACAGCTGTGTGCAGTCTGCAATACACAGATAATTTGGGAAGTAACTTCAGCTAAATTTAAGAAAATAATAAACATGCTTAAACAGTAAATAAGGCTGAAATGATTAGTCAGTTACTTGAACAGGCGTCAAACCTTTATGCTTCAAGTAGGTACTGTTAAGTAGAACTGTTACCTATGAAAGAGTTTTGCTATTATTTTTCTTAGCTGATTTGAGAATAAGTTGGATTTGTATTATCATACATACTCATGACATAATGTGGGACTATCATGACTTCACCATCTAATTGCTAGCAGATGGTACCAACTACTCCTTAATTCTTTTCTTTCAGTTTTACAGCTCTTAAAAAGTGAAGAAAAAAAAAATCAAGTCTAGTATTTGAAATCTGTATTTTTCTTGTTATTTCTCTTGAGTTGTAACAGGTAGAATGCTCTGGCTTGCTGAATGCAATGCCTTTCTGGCAGCAGCAGATGGAAACTCAGGGAGGGGGTTCTGTGTTTGCAGTCATCTGTCATATTTGTAAGCCTTTCAAAAGACATTAGCGAAAACCAGAACTTGCCAATATGATATTAAACTTGTTAATATAATATATTGCACTGTAACAAGAATCTTTGAATAATGTTAGTTGTCATAGGAACATCTATCCACATTCAAATAAATGATGAAGTGCAATCCCTGGCAACTAAATGCTCACATGAAAAACCGAAGGTATTGAGAAGCTATTGCTGGTAGTCCTTATTCATTCTTTATGGAATTTATGTGTGTAATTTGTTTCTAATCTTGCACAGTAACTTTTTTTACAGCTTTATTTATAGTGGTCAGTTTTGCCAAAAAAGATAATTGCTGGAGCACATGTCTACATGGTATACCTACTTTTCAGTTGATTGTTACCATATAAATTAAAAAATGTGAGGAGGAGACTGTGGTGGCATAACAACTGGCTATAAAAAGGTGATCAATACAGGCAGACAAATAACTGAATAAAAATACCTTAACTGGCTTGTTTCCAAAGCGTTCAAATGCAGTTTGAATGAAGTTGAAAATTTAACTCACCCGTGTTTCAACCAGGAGTAAAATTTCAAATTGAAAAGTATTTGGACTCTTCCTGTTATTCATGCTGGTCAAGTAAAAGAAAGAGATTAGACAGGAATGGTGAGCTACGGAAATGGTAAATCGGTCGTTTGTAATATGTGTTACAGAAACCTGTGTCCACTGCCCACTTAACTTTACTAGTCACCATCAGCAATTGGTTGGTTCTTAGTAATTAGACATTGTTGGGCAGTTTTTCCTACCCCAAGGGCTTGTTTTTTGTCCATATCAGACTACTGCACAGCGTTGATATGTGGGCAGGTAGCCATGGGAAGCACTAATTCCTGGGTTGTAGGCAGGCAGCTTGCTTTTGTAGCCTTGACCAAAGAACGTCATCTTCTCACTGGTTTTTCCCAGTATAATTCCCTTATGAGACACCGTGCCAGTAGATGAGTGTTCAAAGGCGAAATGTGCGAAGTATTCTAACTGTAAACCAAATAATGATTTGGGTATGGAGTAGTAAGTAAACGGTGTGCAAATGAGAGATTTAAAAACAAATTCTTTTTTCACATTTCAAACAAATCACAAATTAATTGTGCGTGCTCTTTGTTGTTCATCATTACTGCTAATAGGTTTTTTTCTGCACAGGCATCTTGGCTTGGAGACTAAAGTTATTCCAGGTTCTAAATGCTCTTCTTTACGGTCTTTGTTTCCCTCCGGGGTTCTCGTACCCACATACTAAAAGATAGCAATAAATGACCAACAGGGCACGCATGCATTCTAGTTCAGTTTCTAAACTGTTCTATGTATCATAGTAGCTATAATATTGTAATTACTGTGTTGCTTATGTAGCTGGTGAATAATAGCTGCTAAGACCTCTTCATGCCTTAGGCAGTACTGTGTGCATTTATCTTCAATTTAATTAGAAACAGACAGATCCATTTTTTCAGTCAAGAAAAGGAAAGGAGCTGGGGTGGGTATAGATGGTAAATCTCTTAATACCATAGCCGAAGATGCACTCCAAACAATCTGAATGGCTTCTGTCCCCTTTTAGTGGCCGTGACTGGACATGAAATGTATGTCACAAGGACGTGCATTTTACATCTACATTGCACATGATGAGCGAAGGGTATATATTTGCCAGTCTTCCCAGTTTGGCCCCTCCTGCTGCTGTGCACTGCTTTCTCACAGAGGCAGTAGTACCAGATTTTGCTGTCGGCTGCTGCTAACACCCTTTATCAGGTGTTCAGCCCAACGCGGACAGGCAGTGCTTCCCCTGTAATAGTGGAAATATTAATAGTGGGTTTATGTTCCAGGACAGCACCTTTTTAGCTGAGCGGCCTTCGGCAGATGAATCAACTGTCAGCAATACCTTGCCCTTTGATTTCACCAAACCAGATTCCACTTCAGATAGTGAACAGTCCAATGACAATGAAATCCAGCCAAGACCAGAAAATCTGGACTCTGAGGCCAGTTTGGCACCTGAAGCTCCGCTCTCCTCAGAGGCTGACATCACTTCTTTGCCTGATGAGCTGAATTTAGAGGATGGGAATCGGATTCCTCATTTGGTCACTGCACCAGTGTCAGGGCGTGATTCCATGGACTCTCTGGAACGGCTTTCAGCCCCCAGTTCTTTAGATGGTAAGTTAATGCCATTGACTAAAGCTTAAATTTGGATGCCAGTGCTTCCTGACACTCACCAAAGGTGTAGGTCACCAAAATGACTTTTCAGAAAGGTCTAAAAAATTACATATCTTTTTCTGGTAGTTTTTACCTTTCCTGTGTGCATGTATCCGAGAACAATATGCTAAGATAAAATGTTTGTAACATCTAATAATGCCTGTTTATCCCTTCAGGAAATGGTATGTACATGATACTTGTTTAGTTGCACAGAAGTATTTTTGTATAGGGCATGTTTGGGTGATGCCATGCAGAGATAACTCATCTCTGAAGTAGACTGACTGCCTAAGGACGTGCCACACAGTTACTGCTTGCTTGCTTACTCTGCAGTCTTGACTTGGCCTGTAGAATATCTGAATGAAAAGTGGGAGAGATCAACAGGGGTCCTTCTGACTTTGGCATATAAAGGCCGGGATGTATCATGGGAAACATGCTGAACAGAGACCTACAGACAATAAAATGAATGGAATTTGACACTTTTTATCATAAACAACTCCCACAGCATTCTCCGGGAGAAACTGGCTGCTTATGGCTTGGATGGGCATACTCTTCGCTGGGTAACAAACTGGCTGGATGGCCGGACCCAGAGAGTGGTGGTGAATGGAGTGAAATCCAGTTGGCGGCCGGTCACAAGTGGTGTTCCCCAGGGCTCAGTACTGGGGCCAGTTCTGTTTAATGTCTTTATCGGTGATCTGGATGAGGGGATTGAGTGCACCCTCAGTAAGTTTGCAGATGACACCAAGCTGGGCGGGAGCGTTGGCCTGCTGGAGGGTAGGAAGGCCCTACAGAGGGATCTGGACAGGCTGGATCGATGGGCCAAGGCCAGCTGTGTGAGGTTCAACAAGGCTCAGTGCCAGGTCCTGCACTTGGGTGACAACAACCCCATGCAACGCTACAGGCTTGGGGAAGAGTGGCTGGAGAGCTGCCTGGCGGAAAAGGACCTGGGGGTGTTGGTTGACAGCCGGCTGAACATGAGCCAGCAGCGTGCCCAGGTGGCCAAGAGGGCCAATGGCATCCTGGCTTGTATCAGGAATAGTGTGGCCAGCAGGACTGGGGAAGTGATCGTCCCGCTGTACTCGGCACTGGTGAGGCCGCACCTCGCATCCTGTGTTCAGTTTTGGGCCCCTCACTACAAGAAGGACATGGAGGTACTGGAGCGCGGCCAAAGGAGGGCAACGAAGCTGGTGAAGGGTCTGGAGCACAAGTCTTATGAGGAGCAGCTGAGGGAGCTGGGGTTGTTCAGTTTGGAGAAGAGGAGGCTGAGGGGAGACCTTATCGCTCTCTACAACTACCTGAAAGGAGGCTGTAGTGAGGTGGGAGTTGGTAACAAGCAATAGGACGAGAGCACACGGCCTCAAGCTGCGCCAGGGGAAGTTTAGGTTGGATATTGGGAAAAATTTCTTCACTGAAAGGGCAGTCAGGCCCTGGAACAGGCTGCCCAGGGAAAAGGGGTTGGGTCCCCATCCCTGGAGGTATTCAAAAGATGGGTAGATGTGGCACTTAGGGACATGGTTTAGTGGTGGACTTGGCAGTGCTAGGTTAACAGTTGGACTTGATCTTAAAGGTCTTACCAACCTAAATGATTCAATGATTCTAATTCGAAATGTATTTTTATTTTTAGTGTTTGAAGATACTGGACTATCTGAAGACCTTCTTTTGCCTTCAAATCCTCCTGCTCACCTCGTGCCTGAAGAACCTCCATCTACAGATGATGATGCAGTTCCTCTGCTTTCTGCACCAACAGTGGCCTCTTCATCAGTCATGGAGACTGATATGAAAGACACAGTATCTGCTGAGAAGGAAGAAGTAACTCAGGGCAGTCCTGCAGACAGTAACAATGCAGACTCTGTGTTGCATGAGTCTGTGGAAGAAATTAATTTTCCCTTAGAAGTGCACCCTGTGGAAGATGAAACTGATATATATTTTGGAGATAGAGTTCTATATGATGATGGGTCTGGTTCAGCTTTTGATGGTTCGGGAAAAGAAATGGAATCAAGTATTTGGCCTTGGGAAGAAGCAACACTGGAACCAGTTTTCTACCCTGGTCCTGATAGCTGGCTTGAGGATGACAATGAGTCTTTGTTAATCAGAACTGAGGATATTCCTGAAGGCATGATCTTAGACTATATTCTTAACTCTGGGAATAAATTAGATGATGATCCTTCCAAAGATGAGAATGAAGGTATGGCCAATAGAAAAGAAGATTTCCTCGATGAGTCTGAAATATTTGTCTTTCCAGTGACTACAACTCAGCAGGTACCTCTGTTACAGACAGAAGAGCCATCATCTGTGGAACCGTCTACACAGAGAGGAACATCAGGCATGTATGATTCCTCTTTTGTTAAACCATCCTTGGTTTTGGAGCCTTCAGCAGACCATTCCTTTGTAGACACGCCAACTGGGGAGGCCCCTGTCTCACCGCACAGTACAGGTCTGTCTGTGGAAGACAGTCTCCTTACACCGACAGGGACCGTCAGTATGGAGCAACCTGAAGAGTCCAATGTAGGTCAGAACATCATTTCTGAAGCAGTTGAACACCAAAGTGAAGACAGGACAACGGCAGAAGAACTGTTCACAGTGGGGCAGTCAGATGTAACTGAAGCTGCTGCAATAGGCCACTTGGACACAAGCTCTTCAGAAACTATTCTGACTGCAGGTCCTTCCATGGTAAACCCTGATGCTTCCACAGAAGAGCAGCAAACCCTAGACTCATCATTGGCAGGCCGAGACGCTACTGGATCAGCAGCGAAGAAACCAGCCGATGTTTGGCCTACTGACAGAGCACCAGAAAGCTCATTAGATCAGGCAGTGCAATCGGCAACGCCGACTGCCGCTCAAGTTTCAACTGCAGTTCCTTCTGTGAGAGATCAGACCACTGTTCTAGAGGGCTTCGCTGGACAGGCTGCCGCAGACCATGACACGCATGTTTCCATGAGCTTCAGCACTGTTACGAACTCTTACCTAATGGTGAGTGTAACAACAAGCACCGTTGAGCCTCCGTCCCATCTCCCTCCTGTGGGATCCACGGCGTCATCGTCTGTGGCTACCTCAGCAAAGCTGGGAGATGAAACGACGAGAGTCCTGGATGTTTCAGTGGATCTGGGTCGCGTGAGCACTGCCCGCTTTTTTCCCGAGCAGACTGAGGAGGGAAGGAGCATGACTGAAAGTCACATGGAGCTAACAACTCGTGTCCAGTCCACAGAGATGGCCAGCGTGGCTTGGGCCACACATGAAAATCACAACAGCACTCCTGTCTCGTCACGAGCTCTAGTCGTGTTTTTCAGTCTTCGGGTTACCAACATGATGTTTTCAGAGGACCTGTTTAATAAAAATTCCCCTGAATACAAAGCGTTGGAGCAGCGATTCTTGGAACTAGTAAGAATCACTTCTATGCTAAATGTCCGTTACCAGATAGACAGAAATTGTCAGTAAATAAATAGTTTGTTGGCTCTCCTTTGCGGAGAACAACTCAAGACTGGTGTTTATAGATACTATTTGTGTCCCTCCATGGGAAAAATGTCTGGAAACGGGAGGTGGGATGTGCTGTGTTGTTTGTCTTTTATTCAGTCAGCAGGCTCTCTAAAGCGTAACTTTTCAGCGCTATGGGCCAGACGCCCTGCTGGTGTCAGTAAATGCCGCGGTGTAGCTGAGGTCACACTGACGCTCCCCTTATTTGCTTCCAGAGCTCTGTATTTAGTCCATAGGGAGAGAGAAGTAAATAAATGGGGGCTGTGGGGAGGTAACTTTTCTGCAACTCTTTCAACCCATCCTAGGTAAGAAGTAGCTTGGGGAACTAAGCTGTTCCTAAACCGACTGATGGCTGGCAAAGCCTCACAGGAGTTACACAGCAACAGTTGTCTGCTTTTTAACCGGGAGATTCCCCTCTCCTGGCTGAAATGAACATTTTGTTGTGGGAGATGAAGGGAGCAAAGGAGAGAGAAGGAAGTGGGACATGCTTGAAGGAAATACCCTGTGAAACGGGGAGCTTAGATCGAGGGAGAGTACCGCGTATGGCCCGAGAACTGCGTTTCTGAACCGTAGATTTTTGGAAACTGTCTGCAAATCGGTGTAAGCTTAGGAACTGTCTCGAAGTACTCGGGCTCCTGGCAGGCTGCCAGCACGGGCCTCCATTGGGTAAAGTTTTAATGCCCTTGCTGTGGGATTTGGATAAAGTAATTCTGACTCCCGCTGTTTGATGCAGTAACAGCGCAACTGGCTTGAGTAGGGATGCAAAGATTCAGCTTTTCTGTCACGTCCCCTCTGTTGCAGCTGGTGCCCTACCTGCAGTCAAATCTGACGGGCTTCCAGAACCTGGAAATCCTCAACTTCAGAAATGGCAGCATCGTGGTGAACAGTCGAATGAAGTTTGCCAAACCTGTGCCTCGGAACGTCACCAACGCCGTGTATATGATCCTGGAAGACTTCTGCAACACTGCGTATCACACCATGAACCTGGCCATCGATAAATACTCCCTGGATGTGGAATCGGGTAAGGATGGCAGGGAAATGCAGTTCAGAGCAAGAGATTTAGAGCTGCTTTAAGAACTTACTAAGGATCTGAGCGGCTCAGACACTGCCTGCTGCTTGTCACAGGCTGGGCTTTAGGAAGACAGCCTTTCACAGAGTTGAAACAAACGAGCAAAAATCTGTTAAGGGACTAAAGAGGTGACAATCAAAGTGGGACCCGGACTGAGCAAACTATATAGGGCCCATATAGAGATACGGGGACAAAATTGCTCATGTGATTCTCTGTGTAATGCCAGTGTGCTTTCACTGGGGAGCGAGGGGGGGAGGCTGCTTAGCGGGAAGGCTGGTGCCTGTGATCATCCCCACAGGTGGCAGCCAGCGTAGCTGCCAGGCGGGCATCTGTACTGCTAACAGCCACTGCTTCACCCTTGCGGTAAGGTCTCGGTTGCCCTAAAAGGTTACAGGCCTTCTTAGTTCACTCCTCTGGCACAGGGAGAAAGCTTCTTCCCTGTCCAAGTTAGCCCGTGGTTTACAACAGAAGCAACTCAGCAATGTTCCCTGTTTTAAGGTTAGAGAAAAATAACAGTGCTGACCTGTTGGCGAATGGCAGCTGTTCGAGGGAGCTCTCTTATGAAGACGGTATAATTAGCAGGACAGATCTTCTGACATTGATCATTGAACTGTATGCCAGCCCTCTTAAGCTTGATACAAGTGGGAGAGCTCAAATGCTACAGGCTGGTGTTCCTTGCAGACAAAGGCAAATCACCTCACAGTAGGTGCCGAGTGCCTGAAGTCCCCTTACCCTTCCCTGGATGCTGCTTAGGTTCTCTGTAACAAGCAATACTGGAGATCGGCCATGTTTTACTCATTTGCAAAACACAGTTCCAGCAGAGAACATCTGAGGTACTGCGCGTTCCAGTAAGGAAAAGAACATCTTATACTTGCTTTTTCGATTGGCTTGTTGGGTGGTCTTAGCCATGCCACTGACACGCACTGTGCAGGGAGAGATGAACACCACTTCCTAGCACTCGTTCACCTTAGCAGAACCTTTTGTCACTCAGGAAAGACGCAGGCCGGATTTTTGCGTATGATTTTAACTAGAGCTCATTAGAGAAAATGGCAGCAGCCAGCCAGCGCTTTGCCTCCGTTAAAGTTCTCCTCTCTCATTCATATTTTCTGGTTTGCGTACCAAACAGGCGAGCAAGCAGATCCCTGCAAGTTCCAGGCCTGCAACGAGTTCTCCGAGTGCTTAGTAAATCGCTGGAGTGGGGAAGCTGAGTGCGTCTGCAATCCTGGCTACCTAAGCATCGACGGGCTGCCCTGCAGTAGCATTTGTGATCTGCAGCCCAACTTCTGCCTGAACGACGGGAAGTGCGACATAAGCCCTGGGCAAGGGGCCATCTGCCGGTAGGTCCTCCTGCTGCTTGAAGTCCGTGCTTCCTGTAGGCAAAGCCCTTCTTGTCTCCTCTAGCGCAGCATTCGACAAGATTTGTGCAAAATGCTGTCAGATAATGTGTAACAAGGGAGACGATACTGATTATCATGCACGTTATGCTGCTGAGTGGAGGTCCCAATGTTAACGTTCGTTTTCCTATGTAAATATCGGAAATGAAACAGTAAAAAATTTCTTTAATAGAATAGAAACATCAGGAAATAGAACTAACTAGGAAAAGTGGTAGTAATGGAACATACTCCGTTGTTCAGATCACCTTCATTGACTTTTGGGGACAGAATTTATCTCCAGAGGTTTTCTCAAGTAGCAAAGTGTTAATTAATGGCAGAAAACATATGGGAGTTAATTTCATCACAAAAATTCCTCCCTGAAAGGCATATTCGTACGGCATAAATACATTAAAAATAGTGGTCTTGGTTAAGAAAAAGGCGTAAAGGTAAATCATTGGCCACCTGGGAAGAATCACGTGTGGTTCCTAAAAAGATCAAGGCACAGGCCCCTCGTTCAAATTTTTGCTTTTAAAAAGATACGGACACATTTGAAGAGGATCTCCGTGTTTTACAGGTGATTGACAAGGCTTAGTACAAGATACAGGCACAGTGATGCTCCCTCCAACACTGCACTTAATTTTTTTCTTGTCAAGCAATGTAACAGTCTATTTTTAAAAACAAGGTATACCTATCAACAAAAAGTAGGAGGCTGACTACAAAAAAGAATATTACTACTAATAGTTACTATTTTTACTTCAGGTGATTTTTTTTAAAAAAAGCTTACCTAGAGCATCTCTAAAGTCAGTCTCAGAGTCCTGGCAGTTAATGGGAGAAATAAAAATGTTTTTAAAGCTCCAAAAATGGATGCTATCACAGATGTACTATAAATTTTATCGTATTTGTATAAATATCTGGACTCAAGCATGCTCCGGCCACCATTTATTGAAAACGTTTTGAAAAATATAAAGTATTGCTTACTACTTTCAGAAACTATTTCAGATATTTATGTGAGAAGACTTAATTTACTGATGTTTCTCATTAATAAGGCTCATTGCTCTGAGTGCTCATAATACAATTCCTTGAGCTTTTGATAGCAAGAACTCCCAAACACGCAAACGTATTATTTTTCCCGGTGTATTTAAAGTCAGTATTAACATTAAAGGTCTCATGTTCAGAACCACAGCAAGGCAGAAATAGTGACTGCTGTTTCGGACAACTGTTCCAAAGGTACACTCTTGGACACACACTTCTTTCTAGTCATTTATTTTATGTATTTATGTAACTAACCATAAGCTGGGTTAAATGAGCAGAATGTTTCTTTTGTATTTACATTACAATATGAATAAGACAACTGCCTTCTACCTTGGCAGTGTCTGATGTCACGCGCCAGGCTCAATCAAGGCCTAACATTTTACTTAGTCTAAACACCTTCCAGTTTTAACACATCACAGGATACTCCAAACTGCAAAACCCACCAGCTTTTTCCATCACAAACGCATTATCCTTTTATTATTCTACTTATCTTCACTCAATTCAGTAACTGGGGTTGTTCAGCCTGGAGAAGAGGAGGCTGTGGGGAGACCTTATTGCGGCCTTCCAATACTTCAAGGGGGCTTCTAAGAAAGATGGGGACAGACTTTTTAGCAGGGCCTGCTGTCATAGGACAAGGGGCAATGGTTTTAAACTAAAAGAGGGCAGATTCAGATGAGATAGAAGGAAGACTTTTTTTATGATGAGGGTGGTGAAACAGTGGAAGGGGTTGCCCAGAGAGGTGGTAGATGCCCCATCCCTGGAAACATTCAAGGCCAGGTTGGATGGGGCTCTGAGCAACCTGACGTAGTTGAAGATGTCCCTGCCCATTGCGGGGGAGTTGGACTAGATGGCCTTTAAAGGTCCCTTCCAAGCCAAAGCATTCTATGATTCTGTACCAAAAAGGCTGTTCACAACAATAACAACAACGATAAAAGAAAGTTGGTGTTTGGACATGCAAAGGTATTTATTGAGGTGACTTAACTGAGGGCACATCGTAACAGGAAGTTAAATACATTTCCATTAACCAAAGCCTTTGCTGGTGTTTAATTTCCCCATTTTTCTTTGTCGCAGGTGTCGTGTGGGAGAGAACTGGTGGTACAGAGGGGAGCACTGTGAAGAATACGTGTCTGAGCCACTGGTTGTGGGTATTGCAATTGCTTCTGTGGCAGGATTCCTTCTTGTGGCATCTGCTGTCATCTTCTTCTTGGCCAGGACCCTTCGAGACCAGTACACAAAGAGCGACACTGAGGAATCACAGGGGTAAGCGACACCACCTAGTATTTTAAAACACAATAAGGATAATGCTGCCGTAAATCTCATCTCAGACAGCTGACAAGCAACAGGATGTACAGGCGCCTCCAACTGCCAGGCTTCCTTCATCTACCTGCTGCCCTGCCAGGCCGCAGAGAAGCTCACAGTTTGTTTGTTGCTCCCCCAGGCAGGGCGACAGCCTCTCGTCCATTGAGAACGCAGTTAAATACAACCCCATGTACGAGAGCGATACGACTGGCTACAGCCATTATTACCGGAGATACCCTCAGCTAACCTCCTACAGCTCTACCAGTGCCGAGACATCCACAGACTACAGCAGCGAAGAGATCAGGCACATTTATGAAAACAGTGAGCTTACTAAGGAGGTAAATGGCCTTGTTTTCACAGTGGCATGGAAAAGATCACGTGAACAATAAGAGGTTGTCACTCTTGTGTAACCTGAGAGGTGGGCCCGGCCTTTCCCCAGTGTCTATGCTCTAGATAAACAAGTTGCAACTATGGCTGCTGCAGTTATTTAAGAGAAGAGAGAAAGGATTTCTCTCCCCGCTTGCTGTCAGGTACAGAGAAAGGAATGGGTGCGTTCTGACCCGTAATGAATTTCACACCATAAAGGAGCTGACTGCTTAGGTAACTTCACGGGAGCTGGGGGGGTTCGCAGTTGTATCGCTTGACACAGCCTTTGGCTTGTAACGCCAACTACCTTATCTAAGAGTAGTTATACAGCAAAGACCTGGCGCACCCAGGCCTTGGGGTTTTTTTTTGGGTTTTTTTTTTTGTTTTTTTTTTTTTAAAGTTTAGGTCTTTCTATAAGCTGCGAGTTAGATCACATCCTTCGCCTTTCATCCTGTATACACGGTACGCAGGGTTTACTCTAGAGGGCTAAAGAGAAAGGATTTACATCCAGGAACTAACCACACATCCTTAAACAAGTGTGAGAGGTGTCAATCCAGCCTGGAGCTGGGCTTGGAGGGAAAGCATCTACGAGAGAGAAATGGGTTTGTTAAAGCCTGTTGAAACACCGCACTCTGCCCAAACCCTGGTTTTGATTTAAAAGTAAGGGATTACTGGATTCCAGTGAAGTACTTTAAAAAAAAAAAAAAAAAAAAAAGGCATAAAGAAGAATGTTAGTATTGGAGCGCCCGATTTCAAGCTCTACTCCTTGAAATAGCAAAGCATTGGAGTTTTATTTTCCAAAACCCAGAAATCAGGTATTTCAGTAGTATTCTAATTTCTATTGTCTCCTTACAATTGTGTTTCTTGTATTCCAGGAAATTCAGGACAGAATTCGAATTATAGAGCTCTACGCTAAAGACCGTCAGTTCGCAGAGTTTGTTAGGCAGCATCAAATGTGAGTGAAACGTCTTGTCTGGCTAACTCCTTTGGTGTGTTCTCATGTGGCCTTTACTACATTACTGTGGTTTTTTTTATATAAAGGGTGTAGAAATGCTGGGACACTAGAGGGTAAGATTTCAACATTATTTCTGAAGAGGTTCAATCCCTTTAAAGTACTTAAAATAATCAGTGTCAAAAGCAGATAGCCCCAGAAGGTACGTAAAAAGCAGCGAAGAGGAATCCTGAAGTTGATGAGTGTCAGGGAAGCACTGACATCAGTTTAGGTCCCTGAAACCACAGACAGAACCTTCTTAACTCTTCTAGTGTAGTCGCTATTGCCTAGTGTTCTATTTAAAATAGAAATTTAAAAAGCATGTCAGTTTATCTTGAGTTCTCAAGACTTGGCAACGAACCAAAACCCAGCAGATCACTAGTGCAGTCCCGTCCAGTGTGGTGGGCACCTACCACAACAGAAAGCTTACAGTTCCAAACAATTAAGCAAGCTGAGCTGTGTGCTTTGATGAAAGTTAACCATGAAAAAGGCCATCAAGGAATTAATTATTAGCATACACACTCTTACGAACTGTATGCTCACTGCAGCAAGCAGCAAATTACAGCTGGCTGGGTTAGTTTGAAAGATACTGTAGGACAATTCCTTGGGATCCTATTAAAAATAGCTACAGTAGCAAAAATCTTGTGTTCCAAGATCATCAACTAGACTTTTTTTTAATTGCAACTAACAGCAGGTCACATTTTTCCATGTCAGTTGTTCATTTTTTCATCTTGAAAAGGATCAGCGTCTAGATTTTCCACAGCTGGAAAGCAGTAAGGGCTGCCTCATATAAGCCTCGAATCCAGTGTTTGAAAGAGACAAACTTAATCGTTGCTCCTCTGTTTTTCATTTCAGGAAGCTGCTTTAAGAAAAAAAGAAATCAGTAGAATGCACGTGGGAGATAAAGACTACCTTGTTGCCATAGCAATGGGCTCAGATGTAACTGCAAAGTTACTTATAGTCTTAACATTGCATGGATGGGTACAGATGTTTTCTAAATGAATGGCTAAAATGTACAGATGTCTGTTTATCTCCATTACTTCTGGCTTTTCTGGGTAAAGTGACATTTTTTAAGAGGTGATCAGAAGTGGCAGAGGTTATGAAAGTTCATTTTTCTTTAACTCTGAAACAGACAGTGAAAGTTTGTATACCAAGGCAAAAAATCTCCTCAGGTAAGAGAAGATACATGCACAACCAAAATAAAAGGCATGTTTAAAATCCCTGTCTGGGATTTATCCCCTTGCTGGAGGCTACTGTAACGATTTCACAGGTATAAAGCACTAGCGGAAAGAAATATTTGGTTTGCACGTGAATGATTTGTAGGGGAGAACTATTGTGCTAGAATTCTGTTAGCATTATTTTAAAGCAGTCCTGTTATAAACGCAAACAAAATCTCACTGGAGAAATTGCTCTGTTGTACAGATGCAAGCACGCATCGCCGCTGCCTGTCCGGGGCACCTCAGCAAGGCAGGGCGGTGCTCCGGCAGTAGCACCGGTGCTTTTATCGCCAGGGCGGTCGGCTCCTCCGCTGTTCCCGGCAGACACACGAGCTGGGGCACAGACGGGCTTCTATCGTACAGATGTTCTGGGAAGCTTAAGTGACTAACATTGACTTTTTTTGTATGTAGACAAGTTGTTTGATATTTTCTAAGTTAATATGCATTATTTATTTGTTGTGTATTTCCCTACCAGTTTATTTTCACAATGGATTTAATTGTTGAAATAGAAGGATGAATAGTTTAATGATTAAATACTACAGCGGCATTTGCGCCCATCCTTTTGAAAAACATTCTTAGTGTTCACTCAGTGGTGAATTCAGCCAACTAATATTTGAATTTTCTTTACTGAACTGGGCAATAGCCTGCCATGTGCTCTGTTTCAAAATCAGGCTGTGGTACTTAAGCGCATGCATATTTGGTAGATGGCAGCACCTTCCTACGGTGAAGGGAAAAAATGAGATGATTCTTGGCTTAGTGCAAGTCAGCGTAGAATTCCTTAAACAGAAGAAGTCAGCCTGAAGCATTTTACAATAGCTGAATTGAGATGGGGACCTCCGAGGTACAGAAACAGAGTTTTATCTTCAAGTTTTGAAGGGAGTTCTGACTACACGGTAAGGTGTGCTGGGGCTCCGTTCGGTCACCCGCTGTCTCTGGTTTAAGGCTTTAACCCGGCTGTCAGGGGTAGGGCACTCACAGTCTCATTTTAGCTTCCGCTAGCAACCAAAGCCAAGTTATTTGTTATTTCTACAAGGCCTGTAGTTCTTGGCCCGCATGTGCCAACAGCCACCTGATACTTCTTAGAGTTAGGCGACAGTGAGAATTACTTACTTGTCTATAGGCAGCTTAGCTGAACAAGTGAGTATTTCAGTGCAATTCTTCTACGTGTTCTGGAGAACCTCACTGGACCACTTGCGTACAATCTTCTTGCCTTGAGTGGCAGGGAATGGGTATCAGAGCCACACATCTGTCAAAGAAACGCTTGCGTAAACCACGGTAAGCCCCAATAATGCCAGACAGCAGGAAGCAACATGGTGCTGCTGAACACTGCTGCGACCAGATGTCATGAGGCCTCATCCTGCTGGGTGACCCAGGGGCTCTCAGAGCAGCTGGTCTGGAGCTTGAGGCACAGCCCCCTCCCTCCTGCCCCCGCAGCAGCGCGGTGGAGCCCTTCTGTAACGCCAGGGCCCGCCATCACGGTAACTGTACGACGCAGAGAAGTACCGGGCTCGGGGCAGGCACCAGCGTGGGACTCGCTTCTGTGCGGCTGGGCAGTTTAAAGGTATTCTCCTATTTGCTGTGCACAAGCCCAGGAGTCTTGGTTAGACTTAGTACGAGGTATTTCAGTGTATATACTGTGAATCTTTTGTGTGTCTGTATACATATGAACATAATGGTATCTTATTTTCACTACAATAAAAAATTATTTCCAAAATATTTTTTCTATATAATTAATGTAGAGATTATGAGTTTGGTATGAAGGGAGAAGGTATCTTAGCCATGACAATTTGTGCACGTAGGAGCAGAAAGTTTGTTGGTTTTTTTTTAAACAGAGTTGGTTAAGCTGTTAAACTCCTTTGCTAACGAAAGTGCCAAATATAGTTCATTATCACTTGCAAGGTGACAAATTCTGAGAATTCGTACTGGAAAGGACATAATTGAGTGCTTTGCTTTCAGTTAAGCTCTTTGCCCGTTTTGAAGATGTTTCGGCTCTAATCAAAGAGCTGAAACACGTTGTTACTTAGGTGATCTTGAAGTCTTACAAACAAAAACACTCCCCCCCCCGCCTTCAAACCTCTTCATCTAAACTGTTTAATGATGCATCTTACAACAACCCAAGGAGGACTCAATGAACTTACTTTGACACTTTCCCAATCCAAGGCAAGGAACTCTAAATATCTGAACAAAAAGAAAACCCCAACGCAGCCCCGCGTACACATCTACCAGTACTTGCTCTCAGTTCATGTGCAGTTTTTGCCTTGCTAAAAGTAAAAAGTGCGTGTCTGAACGACTTGGCGCGATTTAAGAACATGTACAAAAGCAGTTGCTGTTTACTGAACGCTGACAGGTCTGCCAGCTTCTGTGGCTCCCCAGATGGAAAGGAGGCCCTGCACGACACTGCCAGCTGCCCCTCTAACAGAGGAGCTCAAATGTACAGCAACCCATTTTGGACCACAGTGCCATCTACTGCAAAAACCTCGGGGTGTAAGTTCTGCCCACGCTATTTTTGGGGTCTCTCAAGGCACCAGTCCACAGTGGTAGAATTCTACCACGGCTGGAAATTCAAAGAGAGAACGAGCATTCAGAGCTGCAAGACTGACAGGAACTGCGCGCTTGCCTTTTATTTGGTAGCTTTTTAGCAAAGGACAGAGCCTTGCCCAGCAAAAAACCACTCAGTTACTCCCTATCTTTTAGCTAGTCTGTTACGGGCCGGTCTGTGGACTTCAGGTACTGCTAGGTAACAATTTGGTCCCAGAAAACAGCTTTCTTCAGGTCCTCAGACATAGCTGAAACTATGCTTTCCTCCTATCTCCTCCAAAACAAGGAAGCATGGATAAAGTTTAGATTTTTAAGAATCAGCAGCTTAGTTGTTAAAATGGAAAAAGCCTTTAACAATCGAGACTTCTGCTCCCGTTCCTCATCAGACCTGCTGGAATGGGTCCTTGCTGTGAAAGGCTGCAGAAGGAGCATGAGAGGACTCCGAGCACGCTTCCACACGGAGTCTGTGGACAGCAGGCATGCCAAGGTGCCGGAGCTCCAGCGCAGGGACCGTCAGCTCATCCTGTTAAAACACAAAGCAAAAATATTCGTCAACACCAATTTATCTGTCTGTCTGGGAGCACCACAGCACAGACATGACAGACTTTGTACAGCCTATGAAATGTGACAGGGCACTGTTACTATTTAAATAGTAGAAAGCAGGCAGCGATTTCATGGCCCTTTGTTTACTTGAGGTGCGCTATAACACCAGCAGCATTTCTGTCTTATCTTTCCACTGCTTGATCCAGTGTGGGAACAGATGCTTTATGTTCTACATAACATCCGTCCATTTGCTTTGGTTTCTCAACTGAAAAAAAAAAAAAACCAAAAAAACCAAACCCACAGCTATTTCTGGGCCAGGAAAGGGAATTTGTTCATTTGTCAGTCAAAGTGGGAAGTTTTGTTTTTGCCACGTTCAACACTAGTTGGCTCTCCTACTCCAGATTATTAATGACCCCCAGGAATTTCAGTTGAGTTGCTGTCCTCTTGGACTTCCGCCCTCCTCGCTGGGTCACCCACTGCACTTCGCAGTGGGAAACGCACTCACGGCGGTTAGCTCTGCTTGGAGGATGACAGCAGGCTGCAACGCCAGAAGGACAGCTTGCCTGAGGTGCCACAGAAGGAGCCAGCCGAACACCACCTCACAACCTGTGCTTTTAGTTGTCCTGTGTTTCCAGTCCAACACAAACCAGATTTCAACTCTTATTTGTTTCAGGATGAAAAATACCCTCAGTGCTGGAATTTTGTGGGATACATGCCAATTTATTATTTTTTAAATCAATTCTCCCATCAGCACATCTCAGGACTATGTTTATGTATTAAATATCTAAGTTGGAGTAAACTACACTTGAAGCCTGACCTTTTCTACGGGGACCACCTCCCCACCCCCAGCTCTCCTTTACACAACGAAAACAACAAAAAATACCCTCCGTCTTGAATCATTGGAGGTGGAAATGTTATTCAAAAATCTCATACTAAACACAACTCAGAGTCAGTGTTAACTGGCGTTGCAATTGCATCTCCACAGCTGATTACCAGATGGGGAAACTATGCCTTTCTGGAAAGGCGGCTGTAGCTTGAACAGAAATGAAAGCAGGAACAATAATGGATACGGCCATCAAAACTCTATGCAGTAACGCAGGCACGCGGCTGGGTAAAAGAGGGCAAGGGAGGAGGCAGCCTCTCGGCGGTGGGCATACGAACAATCCCAAGAGTGAAAGACCTCCATCTACTCACAGGAGACCGCGACAAGGAAATTCACTCAGCTCCACCTCAAGAGGATCACGGTGATTAAATGATCCCTCGGCCCATAAAGGGAGGGGGATGCAGAGCACTTCCAGCAGCAGCACGGAGCTCAAGTCTCCCAGCACGACCCCCAGGTAAACTGCTGGCTGTTCACAGTTCCGGTCATCTGCTCAGCACAGGAGCAGCTGTTCTTCCCATCCCTGTTTTCAGATGGGAAGATGAGAGGGTTTTGATCCACAAAAATGCGGTATACAGTTCTCCTGTAAACCAGGGACCGCTGCACAGCTTTTTTATTTTCTCTTTTTCTTTTGTTATTTCTTATTTAAAGTTTTGATTAAAAACAACAAACCAAAGCAACCACCGACAGAAAAATAATCAAAAAACCTTCCCACACTTCACTTTTTTAGGGTTTGCTTTCTCCCTGCTCCCCTTAGGCATGGATAGAAACCCACAGCTGTGGTGGGAAGGCAGCGTGGTTCCAGAGAGCTCCTCCACAAGAAGTTCTCACTTTGCCCTTCTCCCCTTCACATGTATAATGTCAGCTCGCGTGTACCGGCTTTAAAACCATCAAACCAACCAGCCAGCCCACACTGAAATACCCTCCCGAGGCTGGCAGTGAACATGCCTGGAGCCTCATGCACGCAGAGACTGACCTTTCAAG